AACGTATAAAAAAAAATCTTTAATTAATTGTGTAACGATCTACAAACTCGGGGCACTCGGGACGTTCACCCCTGTTCACTGTGACACTCATTTTTCTTTATTTTCACGATTTATTCCACAAATCGTTTGTGTTATAAGCACAAAAAATATATGTCAAAAACGGAGTTAATAATAAACTCTGTCTTTTGGTGTGATTACGGAATTACTTGATAGCAACTGGGTGTGGATATAATTGTAAAGTCTTTTTGGCGGGGATTAATTAGTTCATAAAATTATGCAGTTATCTGCGGGTGTATGCCTTTCAGTAATCTCTTTGCTTTCTTTTGTAGCGGGATCGATTTGGTTTGTTTCTTCCCTGAAAAATGGTGTAGAGCCTGTGCATTCCACTCAACCCGAGACTTATTCATCGGAAACTTATTCATCGGAAACTTTTTCAGTTATTTCGTTAGCTTTCTCTAGTCTTTCTCTTATTTTCTTCATAATTTCTACTATTTATGTTTGTCGTATTTATTATTTGACGAGAGAAGTAGAAACTTCTGTTGTTGAGATTAATGAGGCAAATGTAAATTTCTCTCGAATGCAGAAATTTAAAAAAACTTTTTTCAAAATTAGAATTGGTAAAGAAAAGCCATTACTGGCGTGGTAAAATTCAAATAACAAAATAAAATGCACTTACTATGTCAGAAACAATAATTGTTAAAGGCAATATTTCCAGAACAATCTACTTTGAACGCATTAGCTATGAAATTCTCTAAGAACCTGGGAATTTACTAACTCGAAAAAATTTCTGGAATTCTTCGAACCATCAACTATCATTATAAGCACTATTTCTCAGCAAAAGTATGAAAATAGCCATCTTAATAATCACTACTATTCAATATGGATCGATCCAATACCTTATGACATATATTCGTTACTAAGCAATTCTCTTTGAATAACGGATCAAGTTCGCAGGATAACTTAACAATGGGTTTCAAGCTGTCGATCAAACCACTTGATTGATTCAACATCTTATAATAAACTATACATTCGTGCGTATTTTTGGAATTGGGCCCAAATTAAAAACTCTGATTTACTATTTGATTAATTCAAATTTTTATGCTGAATTATACGTCAACAAAATGACGCATATATTAAATTGCACCCCAAATCAATAAAATCAATATAATTTTTACGTCAAGCCCATCTTCCCACCTCAAAACCCATCTCTTTTTTTTCACCATTAAAAACCTATCCTCTTTTATTGTTATTAAATTTAGCTTTAAAATTAATCTTCGTATTTAAATAGTAATTATATTTATAGTCAAATAATTTGACTTGCATCAAATAGTCTATCACATACTACGTCATAAATTTAGGGTAGTGTAAAAAGTCGCACTCATGGTACTATTGAACAATCCTCTTTTCCGTTATCTTCAGATTATCAAATAAGTTATTAGATAATTCAACTGCGATGTATCAAATTATCAACATAACCAATTGATAAATACAGCTTCTTATAATGATAATGAATCACTAAATAATTGTTCGAATTCGCAAGACATTTTACATAAACTTCGAACTGTCAATTAACTCAATTTATTGATCCAGCATTTGCATAAACAACCACTTGATGTATCTGTTATTTAATAGTTCTCTTATCTAATATCCAATAAACTCTCAAAATGGCTTATATGTGAATCTCTGAATATTCAAAAAGTTCAAATGTTAATAATTGTCAAATAGTTAACGGATCTTTGCGTACTTATACATTGGGAAGGGCCACGGGATCCGACCTTACTTTTTTTTTTTTATTACCGTTATTTATTTTTTGCTTTATTATTTAGAAATCTACTATACAGTAAAGATTTACTCTTTTTTATGAAAACGGAATAACTCAGCACTCATCATACAAGATAGTTTAAAAAATATAAATAGGAAGGCACATGAATAACCTTTATATGGCTTGGCTTATTTGTAAATCTTGTTTTTTTTTACATAATAAACGTCAGTGACAATTTTTTATAGCTTTTGGCCTCGCTTTTCTACAGTATATCTCTCGGCCTTCACACTTTTCACCTATTGATTATTATATATGTCATTTCGCAGAATCAAGCTCTAATTTTTTTTGTAGCCACATGAATATAACCTAAACTTAAAAACTTAAAATCAATTTTACCTTTTTTTTTTTTGCATTAAACTTTGTCTCAATATCTTTTGAATCCTATACTTCTGATCGCGAGCTAGAAAATGTGTTAAAAAAGACTTTTGTTAAATCTATGTCTGTGCTTACGGTTTGTAATGAAAAAAATTGTGTGGATTTTTCAGGATACTGATTGTAGCTACTGCATGAAGGGCAACATTATCGGGAATTTTAAATAAATTTTTATTTTATTAAAAAATAACTATTTGTTAAATAATTTTTCAATCGATTTTTCAATTTAATCAAGTAAGTAAAATAACATTGCAAAAAATTTAATTTTGGTTCTAAAAATGATTGATAACCTATATGCTAAACAACTAACAACCAGATTCTTTGTAAGAACGGCCATTTTAATTCTGTATCTATAATTAAATACTACGATATTCACTCATTTAATTATGGAAATGTAAGTTAGAAAAACCTTTTTTGAAAATGACCTCCGAATCCTCCTTAACAATTGCCAATCATTCTTAAAACAAGAGTATTTCAAAAAATGGTAAAATTACTTCTCTCTGTAGTATAACATACCGTAGCTATTTGTCTTTTATTTACACAGATATTTTACCAGTCTTTTATGCTTCGTGTAACAGTTTATATATTGAAGAAGCGAATCTGCCCAGTGTTTTCAAATGGGTTATTTGCATTTTGAATTTTGAGGTATTTATAAGTTATAATAACGTCAATTAAATTTAAGAGGAACAAATATTAAATTAATTTATTTATAAAGTTATTATACTTGCTAATAATATTAGTTAAAAACGGAGGGATACAAGCTGGTTGAATTTATTTCGTCAAATTGGACCCACACAGCAAAAGGTGGATTGGCCAAAAAAATTATTTTTAAAAAAATTCAATATCTTGAAGAATTAGATTGATTAGAATAAAATTATCGTAAGATTAAAACTTCTAATTTTTTTACCATTCCCCTTTTGCTGTGGAATAAATCACCAGATCATATCAATCCCGAACTTAAGAGAATATTAGACAATAAGAGATTTAAATTATCTTGGATTGATTATGATGAGTTCAAAGATATTGAAGAATTTGGAAAAGGAGAATTCGCAACTGTATATAGCGCAACTTGGTTTGACAAAATTAATGATAGATGTAAAGATGTTGCACTTAAAGTGATTCATGATTCAAATGAAAATGTGCAAGAATTTATTCAAGAATTGCAAATTTACTGTGAAATTGGATACAAGAATCCTTCATTCTTGTAATGTGTTGGAGTGTCAAGAAGTGATTATGGTGATTATATTATCATTATGGAGATTGCACCATATGGTTCGTTACGACAAAATCCTGTGGAAGTATCACAATTGGAATGGAAAGATAAATTAAATATTTTATACGGTATATCTTTGGATCTCCAGTCGATTCATTCGCAGGAACTTGTTCACAGAGATTTACACTGCGGAAACATTTTGCAAGGAGATATGAATCATGTGTATATTGCTGATCTTGGACTTTCTAAAAAAGTTAGGGATGGAAAAATTTGTGAAATCTGCCATATATAGCACCTGAAGTTTTGGAGGGTCAACCGTATACACTAGCATCAGATATTTACAGTCTTGGAGTTATCGTGACAGAGATTTCGACCGGACAAAGAGCATTTGATGGAATTCCGTTTAATGATGAACTTGTATTAAAAATTATAGATGGATTAAGACCTAAATGTTTAGAACCAGATTGTTATATTAAATTGGCTATTAAATGTATGGATCAAGATCTTGATAAACGACCTACTGCAAGAGAAATTATTGAAATAATCACTCGTTGGTGTGATTAAATGGATCAGAAAGATGATAATGAAATCAAAAAACAATTTTCGGAAGCTAATAAGATTAAACCAGAATCAATTGAACAAAAACATTCTCAAGACATATATACTAGTAAACTATATGATACGGAATTTTTTATAATGTAATTAGCAAAGTAGAATAGAGCGCAAATTCTCAAATTTAGATTTAAACTGAATTATTAAAATTACAAAGGTGCAACTATAGTATTATTTTTTTAATTATTAAGTTTTTACGATACCTAATCCCATTATATTACTGTTTAACTTTTAGTTACTATTCTTATCATTTGTGTAATTTAGTTGTTTGCTTTTTGAGTGTAAGAAACCTTAAAATCAATCTTATCTTTTTTTTTTTTTTTGTATTAATAAACTTTGTCTCAAATATCTTTTGAAGCTTGTACTTCTAATCATAAGCTAGAAAAGGTGTTAAAAATGATATTTGTTTAAATAAATTCTGTGCTCAAATTTTTTAATGAAAAGTTGTATAGATTTTCCAAAATACTTACTGTAGTTAATGTAGTACAAGGTAGCATTATCGGTAACTATAAATATTTTTTTTAAAAAATAAAATGGTAATTTTAATTAACAAGTGTAGAGGCCCAGACGTTCTTTTTTACCATAATAGATTGTGTTTATTGGTCAAAATTTTCATTGATTATTTCGAAAAAATAATTGTTCAAGTACTTCACTCTTTTTACATTATTATCGTTATCGTTATGAATCTTCAAAATCATTATCAACTATTACTTAGGCCACACAAAGTTGATTTTTCGTTTTGCATTACATGGATTTCAAAATTAGGGACGGACGGGCGGATTTTTTTTTTTTTAATCCAATTTACTGCAAATAGAATAATGGTCACATTTTAGGTTATATTTTCACAACAAGGAATCAAAAAATTGGGCCGGCTTAAGGTCTCCATCGGGTGATACCGGATGAAAATAGCGGGAAAAAATAAATGTCAAAAATCGAACAATTGGCATAATTGGGATCTAAAAAAAAAAATAAAAATTTGAAAAATTGAAAAAATGGGACGGCGGGTAATGCAAAACGAAAAATCAACTTTGCGTGGCCTTATGCTAATAATATTCGCCGCAAATAAAAAGGAATTTTTTTATTTCTACTGGTTCATAGTAAATTTTGAAAAAAGAAGAAACAGAATTTGGAAGTGTCATAGATTCTTAATCATTTCGTTGATCCGTCTTATTCATTATTTTACTTTACTTTTTTTTATTTCTATTTATAAAAACAATAATTGTTAAATGGTAATAATGATAAAGACGTTTGCTCAAGCATCAATTGCAGTCAATATTTTAATTAATCATAATCCTTGAGCACCAACACGATTATAAATTAATCCATTGTGGAAGATACATGAGCATATTTCAAACATATCCTCGTTCGTGCTATCGGTTTTCAAAATCATACTATCGGTTCTCAAAAATAGTCTAATTAATAATGCCATAATGGTTGAACATTATATCAATCAATAGTTAATCACATCGAGCGTGCTGCTTGAGAGCACCCTTAGTCTTTCAAATGTAAATTTAGAATGTTAAAAAGTTATTCTTATTAAAAATTCGCTTTGTTAAGTTTGTTTAGATATTGGTATTCTATTTGCTTGGCCAAATTGAAAAAATATATTTATTAAAAAATTAATAAATAAGCAGCTAATAACAATTTTCTAAAGAAGCAGAAGTAAATTGAAAATGTCATGTAATATTGTCCAGCATCGCATTAATATAATAAGTATCTTGGTGAAATCTATACTACTTTACTCTTAATTAATAA